ACGAAGAAAAAGTTGCCGAAATGAAACAACTAACACCAACAAACGCGATCACGTCCTCATTGTGCGCAAGACCCACGACAAGGTTTTGACACAAATCTAAATCCTGGACAACTGGATTTTATTCCAAATTTTATATAGGGAGTAGTATGAAAGCAAGTTATGTGCTAAATCTCCCACAGTTTAATTACAAAGTTTCCAAGTCACACACCTACTTTTGACGTGTAGTTAAACTCTTTTACTATAGCGGAAGCACACGTTTTGAACGGTTCAAGCCAGTTGTCACAGATATTGACTGCACAATCGGAAAAGAACGAGCACGCCCTTCGTAATGAGGTTTCTATATATTTTTAGAACCAAAGGGATTCACACATTCGAGAGCTGCTGGAAACTTCCGAGTAAAATTATGGTTTAAGATATACAAGATTATCTGTCAGCAATTATGAGGCTGATTTTTGCAGTCATTCCTACATGTAGTTTCCACATACGTGCGGAACCTATTCTATGAGGGCAAGCCAGATATCTTCAGCTGTTAAATCTAGGGCAGCATTTAGATGTGGCTATCCAGCGTGCAAATCTTGCAAAAAAAGTATTCCCTCCTAGTTGTCTCACGGTGATTTTTTGTAAAAGCAACTGTGGCCGAGAAAATGTTATGTGTGCAATTACAAGCGAATTCGACACTCAGAAGAAGGAGGTGCAACCACTGGAACAACAGTTTTATTGTCCTGGCGTTTCGATTCGTTCGGGAATTATTAATCATAGCTAATGGTATCATAGTCATAGTCATGCACAGATAAGTTTGAAACATGCATAGGTTGCACGGTATTTATAGTTCATAGTGGTCATCTTCGTGCTTATAATAATTATCCATTTCTGTAGCTAACGCTTGGATCTTAATTGGTGCGGCACTGGCTTGACACTTCGCGTTCGACTAATTAATTACCGTGATTTCCTCGTCCGTTTCCGATGCGGGCTTGGTAATTGCGTGACAATTATCCTCGTTTTCGTCACAGTTGTTGCTGGGCTCGACCTTTTCCACGTGCCTGATTTTCTTGCCCAGACAGTGTCTCAGTACGCAGCATGGGAACGCTAAATCTATGCGCTTGTTGATGGACTGGAGGCCTGGGAACCATGACTCGAGCAGCTCGCGGCTCAC